TGAACTTAGTCTGCGTGACATTTTGCCGTTTGACTATATGAACTAATAAATTGTTTTTTAAAATTTCTATGCAAACGAAAGGCATGAAGAATTGTGGAATAATTTTTATTGAGATATTGTGAGATTCAATGTTTCAAGCAATGTTATAGGATAGAGCGTGTAAATATGTATATCAAGGTTGGCACGGGGACGGATTTGTTTCTATCCATCCTTGCGGAGAAACGAAAAATCACTTCTGCCCTCCCAGTTCCCTTCGTTGCCGTCCTTGTGAGGATCCCCCGCAAGGACGGCGTCCCCGTTGCAGCCTCAAAATTTATGATTTGATTTCCGAAATGAATCGCTCACTCACTCGTTTTGCAGCCATATGAGCCAACAATCGACGACACCTACCAAGTTCAAATGGACTATGGTGATCGACCAAAAGAGATTATGGTGTTTCATGACACGGCTGGACTGAACGAATATGGACCCGTTGAGTTGAGGAGACCGTACATACAGGTAACTTTTACCGTGTTCTATGCCACCTATGCAAACCTTCAATTGTTCAGGTCGTTTGAATTGCCTGAACGAATCATTTCTGTGCTATGTTGAAATAAAATCAACACATCTAGCCTTAACTAGTGGGATTCAACGCATCAATAGTTTCAATGAAGTTGACCTGAATTAAAGTTCAAATAGCTGCACTGAATTAGAAATTATGGAACTAGTTAACGCACCTGTTCCGAAAAATTTTGTAATTCTCGATTTTTTTTTGCGATTTATCCTCAGTTTCGGCCGATTTATATGCAGTATCTGTTCTGGGGTAGAGAGTACAAATTTGGTTTGGGTCTATTCTATAGTTGTTTTGAAAATGATCAGTGTATTTGAGGTTGCCGATGCGTTCGTTCTGGTCTATTCGGTTCTAGATCATGAGTCGTTTAATCGAATGGATATGTTGAAGAAGTTTATCGATAAGCAGTTCGGAAAAGATAAAAAAGAAGTGAATTTTCATTCTTCCATTCATTTCTGTCACTTTTTCGCTTTTTTGATCGAAATTTCATCATTCCATCGTCGTTTTTCCATTGAGGAAGTTTGAAACTTCATTTTGTTCAAATGATATTGTTGGCCATGCGTAAATACGTGTTGGATTTGAGGTGCCGATTGTTGTTTTGGGGACGATGTGCGATTTACCGGGTCATAAAGTAGACAGTGATTTTGCACAAAATTGGGCGAATCGAGAGAAAGGTAACGACTGCTTCGATTATTGAGGGTTTTTATGAAAAATGAGGCAAAACCACTTTTTACGAATCGCTTTTTCAAATCGCTTTCAGCTCATTTCAGTGGTACTTATTATACGTTTAGATTA